GAGATCAGACACATCATCCTCGTCTGCCATAACCTCGTTAACAACAATCTCACTGATAACAATCTCGTTTCCAACAACCTCCTGTGGAACAACCTTGTCCACGACATCGTTGTCAACAAACAAACTGTCCGATACAACATCTTCCACAACAATGTCATCTACATCAAACGCTTCTACTTGATTGATAACAACGTGTGACTGAGGGGTAATGGTTATGATCTCACATTCAATCTCCTCTGATAAGTTCGGCAGCAAATTTTCACACTTAAAACTCTGTTCTTGTATTTGAGTTTGATCTGATATGAGACTATCATTGTACTGAGCAATGAGATCACTAGTTCTGATAATTTCATTCAATAAAGACAACTTTTTTTCTAAAAAGTCAATCTTGATGTCTTTTGACAGACAATTGTTACAGTTCTCTGATTTTTCAGACTGGAATGAAAAGTTCAAATGTTCTAAAGGGCGCTCACAAAAGTGGAGACTAATGTCTGAGCTCTGATTATTTGACATAGTTATATTATCAAGAGTTCAATGTTCAGAAGCACAATAAACACTGTAAACGCAATACCTTCAGTCCAGATAGTAGTTTTGATGAGAATAGTTTTGATGAGAAGGAGGAGGATGAGTAATCTTCAAGTACACTCACAGCAGTCCTTTGCACGTCAACACTTACGCTCGTCTATCATATCTCATACCTCAATGAATGTATTTAATTGTAGTTGTGAAAATAGTTTAAAACTCTTTCTGTTTTTCTTTTCTTTTTTTTCTTTTTTTTATTTTTTCTATCTTTTCTCTTTTTTATTTTTTTCTTTCTTGGGGGCTTGGCCGGGAATTGAACCCGGGATCTAAAGTGAACCTCCGGCGGGACTCGAACCCACAATCCCCGGCTTAGGAGGCCGATGCCTTAGCCATTAGGCCACGGAGGCTTATACTAAGATGGCAGCATGGGTATTCAGTGTCTTCCACTCTCGCAATACTGGTGTTATGTTAACACTATACAAGTCACTAGTCCGTAGCCACTTAGAGTATTGCTCTCCTCTGTGGAATCCGGCGAAAGTGTATGAAATTCAGGAGCTTGAAAGTGTACAAAGAACTTTCACTTCAAAGATCCATGGTTTACAGCATCTCCATTATTGGGATCGCCTAAAAACCCTGTCCCTCATGTCACTTCAGAGGCGCAGAGAACGTTACATTGTCATGCACATGTGGAAAATCCTACATGGTTTCACATCCAACGACCTTGAAGTACAGTTCACAGTAAATCCACGATTGGGTACCCTTGCTAAGGTTCCAGCTGTCCGTACAAAAAGCTCAGCTGCTCACCAGACTCTATATGAAACATCATTTGGTGTAATGGGTCCCAGACTCTGGAACTGTATACCTTCGCACATACGTGCAGTCTCCAAACATGATGGCTTCAAGCATCATATGACGGCATTCATGCTTTCCTTGCCGGATAAATTGCCAATCCGGGGCTTCACATCACCGAACTCCAATTCTATACTGGACTGGCGTAACGATCGAGAGGCATCTTCTCTCTGGGGTGGTCAGCAACTCTGATGGCCTGTCGAGTTTCGACGAAGCAGATCAAAGGTATCAAAGGTAAGGTATATTTTTCTTCCCGGGGGTTGATTTGATTGAAAAACCGTAAATTTTGCGATAAAAATTGTCATCTTTGAAATCTTCCAAAAAAACATGCCTTACAAAATGACAATTTCGTCACGGCTGTCATTTTTTAACAGCAGCCTATAGAAATTTGATTTCACCGAGGACAGTTAGATAAATATAATAGATTGAAGATTAGAATAGCTTTTACAGGAAAAAGGATGATTAAAAAAAGTTGGGCAATTTTGCGTGAGATAGTGCCTTACAAAATGACAACCCAAAACGGCATCACTTCAAATCCGATTTGGGAAAAAGTTTCATTATTCTTTCACGTGTCTTACTGTTAGATATATATGTTGTTTATATTATACCAGTTCTGTTTTTACCAGAATATATTAAAAAAGGAACATTTTTTATACTTTGAAAAAACTTTAAAAATGTCATTTTGTGAGGCGTAAAAATCATTTTTTGTTTTCATACTTGAACACAGTATTTGGTTATATTTGATATTTTCTATGACTGGATAGATCATTTTTCAGTGTTTAGTTAACGTTTGACATGTTTTAGGAGTTGTTATTACTCTCTGCTTTCACAAAATAGAAGCTTTATTTCGTTGAGTTTTGAAATCAGAGTTTGAAATCAAAGAGTTTGAAATCAAAGTTTTGATATCAGAACTGCACTTTTTTAATGCTACTTGATTGTTAACTGTCAGATTATGATTATTTTTAACTCCTTCTTGTATTGACTGTTTCTGATCCATTTTAGATGATGAAAGTAATTCAATCTGAAACATTGTCATTTTGTAAGGCTTTTCGGTGTCATTTTGTGAGGCATTTTGATCAAAATTGATGATCAAACAAACACATTTAGGCTCATCATAAGCTTACTGGGTTTAAGAATACCAATAATTAGGCAAGGGGCATCCAATATAAATATGCCATCTTTGTATCATAAAATAAAACTGTCATTTTGTGAGGCATAACACTGTCATTTTGTGAGGCTAGGTCATTTTTTTGTCATTTCTTCTACCAAAGTCACTAAATCAGTTTTTTTATTTGACCAGAGTAGTCTTTGATTGACATAAGTCATGGTAGTACCTGGTTTTCTGGGGTTAAATTCTAAACTTTGGTCTCCATTCTGGGTAACAGTTAGGCGGGGCAATGACTGAACAGCAAAAACGTCCATATTTATGTTACAAGAAATATAGATTCTATGTCATTATCATTCCTTGGGAAGTGTTAATTAATGCTTTTTCTTTCATACAGTGAAAGGAATAGGGTTCAATGTATAGGGAACCTAAGCTACAGCATGGTCTATGTGGGCTGTCATTTTGTGAGGCCTGTCATTTTGTAAGGCCGATACCCGTATGTAAATCTTTTGATATGTACTTGTTTGTGGGCAAAATCTCATTCACCGTTTCTTTCACATGGATCACAGTGGTTAACATTTAATTTTGGCCGATGACCAGTGGCGTAACTTTGCCTGTTGGCGCCCCCGCTGAAAAAGCGCCCCCCCCGGCCCCCCCTGTTGGCGCCCCCTCCCCTTTTGGCACCCCTCCCTAAAATTGAACAAATTAGGTGATTTTAGAGGATACGCCGGTAAAATCTCTCAAAAAGTGTGTTTCTAGAGCAAAACGTGCAGTTTTACTAGTACTTTAGTTAAGTTTTTCGAAATTGTCCCACATTCAAATGATGATTTGGCCCCCGCCCCTAAGACGGCGCCCCCCCCCCCCCCCCCCCCCCCCCCCCCCCCCCCCCCGCACAGCAGGGTCAGCGGGGCCCTTCGTTACGCAACTGCCGATGTTTATTTGATAATTAATAAGAAGCACTAAATTTAACCGTTGATTATTGAATGTAACGACATGAGCTGAATTATTGATTGTTTGAATTTAATTAATTAAATATTAAACAAATTTGTTTTATATAAAAGTGTTATGAGATTTCAGTGTGTTCTCAATAAAATTTCACTTTCAATTAATGTGATTGATACTGTATATTACGATAATTACACATTTTTATTTTTTATTTTCCATTCTGAACAGAATCAGAGGACTAACTTATTTGATCAATTCCATAGCTTTAAAATTCACAATAGTATCTATTTTCCATTTAGTTTTCAATGTTCATTTCTGTTAAAATTGAAATGGAGAAGCTAAAGCACAACTCCAGTCCTTCTCTAAATACATGCGAGTATCCGTAGTCTGAAATTTAATTGAGTTGAGAAACGCACTGTTGTTGCAATCTTTAGAGCTAGCACAAGCCTGATAGAGAAATGCATCAGGGTCCTCCGTTCTCTGCGCCACGAGGCAGTTTCCTGAGGATTTTAGGTTAATTTTGACCGATTTGGACTTTCGAGTGGCTGGAAGTATGATATCGGGCAGTCTAAACTGTAAAGGCTGATCCAATAACTGAGACTCTTCAGAAGAGGTCTTTGACTTTAAGAGCTAAAGTATAATGACATGCTCATCCAATGGTAGTAAGTACACTATAAAATTGTAAATAACCTAGCAATTCAATTATTATTAAACAATTTTTCCTGACTAATTAATACATTATCATATGAAAATCTTGAAAATTGTTGTTTTCTTGAACTCACGGAATCGCTTTCCTTTAGGGCTTCCATTGATCATGTTCACTATTTTCGGCTTTTCTTTGCGAGCTGTCAACGTCAGTTTGAGGGATAGAAGGCAAAAAAGGATTAGTAGAAGCTTCATATCTAACTATCTGAACAACAGATATGAAAATAAAAAGGGAATCTTTGAATATTTGATGATAACAATCATACTACTATATTAAGCAGTTTTAACAGTTACCCAGTATAGCTTTGTTAGATAGAAGGTCCAGCTTTGTTTGCTAATAAATTGAGTGTTCAAAAGAAAAAAACCAACAGTTCAATTTTTGGTTGCTCTGCTATGTTGCGCTATACAGACTAGAAAGATGTAAAAAGAGAAGTAAGATATTTACTGTGATTCTCAAAATAAGAATACTGTTGTCCACTGTAGTATTAAGTAATTTGTGTAGGTTGAAGGTACTCCTCCAATCAACAGCTTACATTTTGAGACCTACGTACTAAATAACCATCTCTTGCCAAATCACCTTCTCAAAACTCGATTTAGTCGACAACTCTTTGTGATGAAAATATTGCAGGAAGTAGTTGTGGCATGAAAAAATTGTCGTTTTATATCCTCATACCAGCTACAATATTATCGGCTGGTATATCAGATTACCTCTGTTAAAATGAGTAGTGTCCTAGTAATTTAGATCACTGTTACTGATAGTATTGGGCGAGGTATAACAGTGCACCCTGAAGGCTGAAATCATCAGCATTTCCTTCTATCACGATTAGTTCCTTAAATAATACTGTTACAAATTCATTTACCTTAATCTCACTTTTACAGCAATGGTTAGAAAGTGTACACAAAATACTTGACATGTCCGAACTTGAAAGAAGGACTGGCAAAGATCTAACAGATAATCTGCAAGTGGGATCTTTTCCTTTACTGCAGTCCCAGCAGTCACATCTGATAAGTTCTCAAGCCTCAAATTCTTTTGAAAAAGTGATTCCCCTTTTTTCTAAAAGAAAGTTCCCTAATCTCAGAGCTAGTCAATATGCATCTGTTTCCTCAGTGGAATATCACAAAGATAATCCTTCTAGATTGATTACAACACATGAAAATCCCAATATTAATGCTAAATACACTCGCATTGCAACTGACCCAAATTTCCAGTATAAAAGTATAACAGAAGTCCCAGAGCAGTACAGATCAATATTTTCACACTTCCCTCACTTCAATAAAGTTCAATCAAAAGTGTTTGATGATGTCCTATACTCTGACAATCCTATTGTACTATCTTCTCCTACAGGATCTGGAAAAACTGTTATTTTTGAATTAGCTATTGTGAGGGCACTTATTCAGACACCAACACATGAGATGTCCAAGATTAAAATTGTTTATATGGCTCCAATGAAAGCATTGTGTGCTGAACGATTATCTGATTGGAAGAAAAAATTTTCCTCATTCAACATCAAGTGCTTGGAAGTTACTGGTGATAGTGATAATGACGATTACAGTGCCATAAAATCTACAAATCTCATATTTACAACTCCTGAAAAGTGGGACAGTGTTACAAGAAAGTGGAAAGAGCATGTTTCCCAGATGGAACACATTTTGTTGTTTCTTATTGATGAAGTTCACATGGTTGGAGACAGTGAGAGAGGTTCAACAATTGAAGCTGTCATAAGCAGAATGAAATGTATAAAAGATGTAACGAAGTCTTCACTTAGGTTCATTGCAGTATCAGCTACTATTCCGAATCCTGAGGATTTTGCATCCTGGTTGAGCAGTTCTAACATGGATTCAGTTTGCTTTAAACTTGATGAAAGCTACAGGCCAGTTCCTCTTCAAAAGGTTGTTTTGTCTTTTGGGGACTGCACACCTCCAACTGCATTTAAGTTTGACTTAAATCTCAACTATAAACTCCATAATATAATCCAACAGTATAGTTCGAAATGCCCGACTATTGTATTTTGTTCAACCCGCAAGAGCGCAGCTCAAGCAGCAAGTACTCTTCAAAGTCAAAAACGATTTGTGTTCAGTGAAAATGAACGTCAGCACATCCGTGATAGTGTAGGAAATGTGGTCGACTGTAAACTAAGAGAGCTGCTTGTTTGTGGAGTAGGATACCATCATGCTGGTTTAACTCCCTCTGACAAGGGAGTTGTAGAGACTCTTTTTACAGCAGGCTATCTTCCAGTTATTTGTGCAACAAGTACCCTAGCTATGGGAGTCAACCTGCCTGCCCACCTTGTTATTGTTAAATCAACTCTTCATTATGCTGGTGGAAAATTTAAAGAATACTCTCCTGCTGATATCATGCAAATGATCGGAAGAGCTGGGCGCCCTCAGTTTGATACGTCTGCTGTTGCTGTCATTATGACGCAAAACTCCACAAAAAATCTGTATAACAACCTAGTTAGTGGCACGCAAATTATTGAAAGCAATATACATCACAATCTTACAGAGCATTTGAATTCAGAGATTGTTCTCAAAACATTAACTCATGTAAAGACTGCAACACAATGGATGACATCCCTTTTCCTTTATGTCAGGATCACTAAGAATCCAACAAGGTATGGGTTGCCACCAAACGTATCACCAAATCAGATCAAAGAATTTCTGCAAAATGCTGTTATGAATGGCATTAATAGTTTGAGAGAGCTGAATTTTATATCTTTTTCGCCTGATGGAACAATATCTCCAACTGAATCAGGTTCGCTCATGGCTCGATTTTATATAAGCTTCAACACTATGAAAACTTTTTCCCAATTAAAAGGCGACGAATCACTCAATGAATTAATAGGAATTATTGCAGCCTCCTATGAATTTTCTGATGTTCAGCTTAGGGTTCAGGAGAAAAATTCATTAAACTTATTGAATAAAAACAAAAATGGGCCAATTGTAAGATACCCATTTAAGGATAGAATAAAGACAAAAGAGATGAAGACAAGTATTCTTATTCAATCAGTTTTAGGGTGTCTCCAAATCAGTGACTTTTCATTGAACCAGGAATCAATAAGAATCTTGAAGGTTGCAGGTCGTGTTTCAAAATGCCTTCTCGAATTTCAGAGCCAAAACCCATCATTTGAGTGTTATGTCAATTGCTTACTTCTGATGAAGTGTCTAAATTGTAAGCTATGGGAGAACACAAAGTTTGTTGCCCGTCAGTTTAAAAATGTTGGTCCTATGCTTGGTAACTTACTTGCCAATACTGGGATTGTAACCTTGCAAAAGCTTGTTTCTACAGATCCTCGGGAGCTTGAAATGATAACAAACAAGAACCCTCCCTTTGGTACTAATTTGGTTGAACAAGTTTCTACTCTGCCTCAATATGACCTGTTTGTTCAACAAACTGGAGACCTTGAGGAAAACAAGGCCACTCTTCAAGTGATTATCAAACCCAAGCATGACAAAGAACCAGCATTCAATTCGCTCACATCACTAGTTATTGGAACTCCTGAAAATGTTCTGATCTATAAGCGTAAATTTAAGGACAAAAATGTATTTGAAAGTCAGTCTTTTCAATGTGAAGTGAATGTCTACCGTTCAATTCAAAGTCAAAGTGTGATATTTTGGTTGATAAGCCATTCATTTGTAGGAGGTGATATCAAAAGCAAGTTTACTCCGAAATTCATTGAGAATATCTCGTTCAAAGAGGAAAAAGAGCAGGAAACAAGTCATTCCAAAGTTTCTGTGAAAAATCGACCAAAGGCTGCAACAAATCCTTACAAGCAGCATATTAATCCGTATGCTAACAAAATAGAGTTACATACTTTGAAAATGGAACAAAAACTCAAAGATTCATCTCGCATTGTCATTGGTAAGAATACCAATCGAGAAATATCTGACCAGAAATCGCTCAAATTAGAAGACATTGTAAACTCACCAGATGAACTTTCTGATTTCGATGATTTGCCGGAAATAGATTGGAAGATAAAAGAAATAATTGAACCTCAGAATAAAAATTCTCCTGATGTTCCAATACCGTCTGTTCAATCCAAGACCATCAATCGGCTTCAAATTAATGGTAATGTGAACATGCAAGCTGTTAAGCCAATTTTGAAATCGTCCAGTTTCAATTTAGAACCTAAGACTTCTCTGTCAAGTGTAGCAATGGGTGCTGAAAATAAGAGTGGAGAATCCATTGATGTGTTGGTGCAAGAAATGGAAGATTCAGGCTATTTTGATGATTTCGAAAAAACTAAATCTTTTAATGTTGGTGTTGATGAATTGCTTGCGGAGGATTACAACAAAGCTCCGGAATATTCTAAAGTAACTGAAAACCATGGTACCCCTTATTTGCTGTCGAAATCAAACAATGTATATAATTCTAGCAGGCCAACTTGTGTATCTTTACCCATGGTTAATCTGGCTCAACAAGAATCAGCAAGTCGAGATACTCCCGAAAAACATGATCTCGATCTCAAAGTAATACGAGTTGATGAGAATGGGGATCAGTTCAGAGAATGTGGTCACAAATGTGCCGATAAGACTTCGTGTTCACATTTTTGTTGTCGATATGGTGTGAAAGTGAAGCCATCTTCCAAAAGAGCTGCATCAGCTTCTACTGATTTGCCACCTGTAAAAAAGAATAAAGTTAATGTTATAAATGGATTCTTTGATTCCAACTCCTCTCTTGCAGCTTCTTACAGATCTAAAACGGACAGTTTTAGGATAACTAAAACTAGCTCTCACACAACTGTTAGTACAACCCACGAAAACTCTGGTAATCATGGTAACAAGTTCACTGATGGAGTAAAACAGAATTATTCTCCTTGGAGCAGGTCGGGTCAAGCCTCGGCTGATAAAACTAAAACCACTGTAGAACCCTTACAAATTGTGAATAGTGGATTCCCAGGAAAATCTCGGATCACTCAAAGCATTTCACAACCGCAGGCTGTCTCCCATGCTCCTCCTTTAGTGAGAGTTGGTGACAAAAATCGTGTAGCTGATAACTCAATTAATGTGTGTCAAATAAAACAGAAATATGTGAAAACATTATGTAATTCAAAAGAAAACCCTGCTGTTGTTCAGAACTTTGAAGCCACTCAACCTCCAAAATTTCAAACGAACGTTGGATTTTATGGGAGTGATGTTTCGAGCTCAAAATCATCAAGCTTTTCATCGATTTTCGATGGAATTTTGTAATGTATAAAAAGAGTATTTAATTTCAGTCAAATTAATGTTCATTTCATTTCATATAATATTGTATGTTTATTTCATTATGTTCAAGTAAATTTCGTTTTTTGTTGAAGTAATTTTGGTGCGGTAATCTTTTGATTGTAATTTCAGTACTTTTGTAATGTCCATGATTCTCACGTTGTGAAGACATTTTTATTCTGGCTGCAGTAACGTTAATGATAATGTTTATAAATTTTTTAATAACACCTTTATTGGTTATATGTTGAAATGATTTTGTTTATTTCTGTATATTTTACAATATTTGTTGCTTTCCCAATACCATTCGTTGTCCTTCTGCTCTTCTGTTATTTCACAACTTATGTCAAAACAAAACTGAAAACATTGATATTGTCGCTTAGTAGAAGAACCAATTATCTCTAGTAGATACCTTTGATAAAAACTTTTTATATCACATTCATGTGGCAAGTTCCTAAGAAGGGAACCTCTCGTGATTAGTAATACCTCAGGCATAGCAACCTCATTGTTAACTTTCTATTTGTTGTACTCATGATTTAGTTTTACTTATAAGTCTTATTATTTTACTTTTTCGACGTAGCGTTACATGTCAGCTTCAATCATGGACGACAACGATAGCGTCATCAGCGATTTGGTAATTATATTTAATTTATTGAATTCAAATTGTAATGTAATTTAAAATAGAGCAAAATTTGAATACATATGTACATACTGAATAGAGGTCGCAATTCGCATTATATACCGTAATATTTAATCTCTAATTCCATATTCATAAAATCAATATTTCTATACAGTCGAACAATAAACTTCACAGAATAATTCTATTGATCGGTAGCAACGTTTTCTCTTTGCCCTCCAGTAACCCACAATTCACAGCAGAGTGTGATGGGCACACCCCACCCATTCAGAGAGTTACCAATATCAGCTGAGAACAGTCTTCATACCTCCTCCAGTAGTGACGGTAAGAGAGCTTACCTGGTGGTATTTTGTCAATAAATTGTTGCAGCTTCATTCGTAGATGTATATCCGAAGCTGAGCTTCATGCTTGAATACTGATTGATTTAAATCGAGATTACCATTATCTATTATTCAGCCGTGATCAGAGCTCTGCAGACGTTACAGCTGAAGATAAAGAAGCTTGAGCTAGAACGTGTCCAAGCAGAGAAGAATTTTGGTAGCCTAGAAAAGGAAGCAAATACCTACAAGGATCTTGTGAATAAAGCAAAAGGTATGTTTTATAATGGGCTATTATCTAATATCAAACTAATTAGCTAAACTTAACCCTCTCTTCGCTTGAAATGTTTCTAATCTCCTTTACAAGTTTGAAATAGAACCAGCAACTTAGCAACTTACTTCCACAGTCTCTGAATCATGGGCTTCAAAAGGAGACGAGAAGGTTATGTACCGGCTTCAACCAACCAACACATCAACACCGACTGATAAGGAAGATTATCAGCGACCAGACTCCGCTCAAGGAGACGGCTCATCAGAAGCAATTCAACCTCAGAAGTTGAGCTACAACCCTGAAACCGACCAAAACATTTCGTCTAGAAGGATTGAGTATAAATCTGACGCTGCACTTACAGATGCTAATGATGATAAAGTGGAAGCTTTGCTGACAAAAGCCAGAGCTCTGTACTGTCCTTCTAGTTCTCAACCGTACGCTACTTACGTCAGACCTACCAAGGATAAGAAATCAGGTGGGCAGAACTCGTAAATATTCCGTTCTTTTTCCTTAAAATAAAAATGAACGGTCACATAGCCAGGTCCTAGATAGTATCCACTAATCTATATACCTTTCTGTAACACATTTCCAAGTACTAACACCTTGTCCGTAGAAGTGACCAGTTCCTCTAAGAGTTCCTCTAAGAAACAACACGACAGTAAAGTGAGTATCCTAGAGAAACAGCTGGAGTACATGAGAAGACTGGTTCATAACGCTGAGCAGGAGAGGGTCAAGGCTACTGAGAGGATGTGTGCTATTGAACAGGAGAAAGAGAACCAGGTACTGTTATTTTTATAGAGTATATTGATGTTCACTAGTACTGGTTAACAGAAGTTTATTACTGACATTGCACTTTTGAAGCACATCAAGTTTCAACTTAAAACCTTTCTAAAAGTTTTAGCTTTCATTTTCTGGTTATTTTGGGCAAGGAATGAATGAGCATTTTGTATGAATGATTCTATTCCATTGACCAGGTCGGGAGATCAACAAAGGAAGAGCTGGAGAGGCAAAATAAGAAGATAGCTGAGTTGGAGATGGAATGTTACAAACTAAACACTGCTCATAATCTGGCAGAGGTTACTTCTTCTAGATAATTTTATGCAGAACAGTCAAATTACTGTTACTTTCTTTATATAAAAAGCTTGATTTAGGACTTTCTGTCGTATTAGTTTCACCTGAATATTAAGTGAAACATTACAACTGGGCTTAATCTTTCCATCTAGCATTTAAAAGGTTGTAATAGAAATATGGCGATTTCTCTCGGATAGAAAAATACTGTATTGAAGTATGTAAATTTAAAATCATAATTGAAATCTTTGCAGGGTAAGATACAAGGACTGGAGGGAAAGCTGCACAGTGAGCGACAGAATCACGAGAAATTGATGGAGCAAACTGAGCAGGTATGACAAATCTGGGAAATATTTACATCTAGAGTTAGAGTTAACCAAGTTCGGTGATTGGTTAAGTTTATTTTCTGAGTATATAATTTTCTATCGAGAAAAGTAGCATCATTAGATAGACGTACACGTTAAACTCTACACGTTCTTCAAAAATCATAAATCACAATGTATTATTCCGAAAATATTCAGCATTTTAGAAAGTAGTTCTTCATAGTTTATACTTGCAAAAATGCCTGTCTACATGCAAACTCAATTCTTGTGATAATAAAGTGCATGTGATTTTGTGCTTACGAAATAAACAAATCTCTGCATCATGTCTTTGTGTGCATCCGGGGTGTGGAATAGCTTGGTTAAACGAATTGGGAATTCTAAGATGTGTATTGTGTACTGCACTCTAATGGACGGGACCTTTGTGCTTTGGAATGTAATGGAATTTTACTGTTTATCTCTAACTAAGTATAGGAATCCCAGTTAGCGCGAGTAACAGAAGAGAACAAGAATCTGATGCTGAGTATAACTCCTTCTCTCCCTCCTTCCCCTGATCCTCCTGTAAGAGACGAAAATAAGAAGAAGAAAAAACGAAAGGTTAGCTATGTTGTTGAATTGTATTATTCACAATAAACTTGGTGTAACACTTAATGTGATTTAATAACAAAAATCAAAATACTCCTCATACAAACTGAATTAAAAATATGCCTAATCTTCAGCAATTAGCAATTATAATGCATCCATTAAATTTGATATGAAAAGAAACAGCACCTGTTTATGTTCTAAGTTCCTGCTCATACCATATAGACACAGATAACAGCATTCCCCAAATAAACACAGATAACAGTAGTGAGTAGTCCCCTAACCCTCCCCTCCTCAGAGACCGTCTAGTACCGGTAGCTCCATACCTCAGAGCTCTGCTCCCTCAATAAGGGTATCCTCAGCTCCTCCTGCCGATCTTAAGAGAACTATACCTTTCGTGTGTGGCAGATCCGCTCACCCTTCTCACTCACTTACCGCTAACGTCCAGCAGATGTAAGTAAAGTAACTGCTAAAGTTTAAATAGCTCTTGTTTTAGAAAGTTGATCTTGTTAACTTTTCTTTTGCTGACTTTTGCTTTAACCGTTAAAATTACGACTTACATGAAATTGTGGTCCTCACTTTCATGAGTTTACGAGTTCAATAATCAAAATACCGATTCACCCTATGTAAAGGTATTTTGATATGAACATTGAACACCGAATTTGAAAACCCTAGAAATTAGTGATTAGATGACAAACAAATTAAGTAGACGTCACAATATTGGATGTAAGTATAAGTTTATTATAGCAGTGATCATTTCCACACCAACCTGGTTCCCGCCCACTCAGCTTACACTCTGGTAGAACAGAGAACTGTAAGACATTATCTCCAGCACATGTCACCTCCTTATCTCCCTTTATTAGAACATGTCCAGGGGTTTTACACCTCACTTCCATCACTGTTCCTGGTTCTGCTGGTAGTGGGGGGCTCAAAACAACCCCGTCAAGTTTAGTTTCTTCCGTTTCGAAACAACCTGATGTTGTAAAAAAATTTCGTCGCAAATTATTTTAGTTATTCTTGTACCGCAATAATGCAATTGAAAGTTTGGTTGGGTATGACTGAGCGACTGTTTACCTGTTTTATGAGATGGCTTGGCTCGGTACATGTCAGATGCAGTATCTGCCGGGCTCACATTCGATCCTCTGAATACTATCTTTGCCACTGCGCGGCTCCAGTGGTTGCAACTATCCTGCTTTGACGTCGAATAGAAATAGCGGAAAAGCTCCACATCATTGCAAGAAAAAGTTAGACAAGAAGTGTCTCGTTCAATGGTCCAGATTTTAGTTTGGGTATCACATTCAGAAATATTTCCGCTAAACTCCAGAAATTTACTATTGCAGTACCCCACCTTGTACTTCAAAGGGTCAGAGAAAGCCACGTAGATGGAGCCAGCTGAATCACGTGACTTTGTGAGAAACCTGACTCTAATGAAGTCCCCACTGCCAATTAGGGAGTTTGTTTGTATTTGCAGGGGTGCTGTTTCCAAATCTATGTTTATCTCTTTTCTCCGCTCTCCGACATCTTTCCATTGCGTTTGATCTTCTGTTGAAAGATTTTTTAATTGACGAAAACATGATCTCTATCTATTTCAATTATTAGAGACAGCTTTAAATTGGTATGTTCTCTCGAAAACTATTTTAATTTAAATGTTCTGTAAATAGTATGTTGGGACTTGTATATAAACCTGTTGGTTCCTCTGCGATGTAGATGTCGACCATAACTGACAGCAAAAATACAATCTTGAACGTCATTATAGCTCTAGAAGTCTTGGCCATCTAAACGGGTGTAATTGAAACCGAGTTTGTAATTTAACTCATGATCAAGCTTATTATACATTTCACCGGCTAAAATTTTGTGACTGATTCGATTCGTACGGGTATCAAATAACATGCTTGATAATTACAATAATTGTATCCACTTTATTTTGATCAGTATACAAAGCAGAATCGAAAAAAATATCAGAATGTGATGATTAAAAGTTCGTTTTGGAATTTTAGAAAGTTAGAAACAAAAAATGTGTACTATACGAGGTTCAAATAATTTAATATATTGTAGTTCCCTAGAACCAAATTAATATCACTGATACAATTCCTATCTTCTCCACTCTACCCTCATCATTAAAATGTAATCACAATATTGAATGGCAGGTTATCAGCTCTCAAGCACGAGAACCCTGCACGGTGTGCCAGAATAAGTACAAAACAGCGTACAAAGAAAGGAGGAGGAAGTTCGGGGAAGGAGATAAAACAAGTTATAAGCGGACTCGAGGACGATTTGGGGGCCCTCACTTTGTAAGTAATCAGTAATCACGAGATTTAATGTACCCAACAATCTTATTAATAGTGTTGATGGTTGAGATCAAATAAAAGCACTAGTTTTCCAGGCAGTTGCTCTCTAATATATATACGGTAGGCATCTTTTTTCGCTCTTGTGAGTGGGTCGATCATATTTATGATAATAAATAATAATAAACAAAATGTTGTCGACGTTTCGAAAACATTTTGTGGAGACTCCCACTTCGTCCCCGACAATCAAATGTATAATATATACTCGAAAGTGCAAGTTGTCTGTAGCGATTGGAAGGTTTCCCTTGAAAAGTTTGTTAACCAGAGGTTAATAGGCCATAGGGCGGGAGCACCACAATGGCAATTATTGATAACAAAACGGAGCAAATGTTTAAATAAGAATTTCATGTATTATGTATAATATTTTAAGAAGCAATTAGTTTAGTAATTAGGGATTAGGGCACGGTTGACCTGTAGCTCCAAACTTAGTTAACTTACTGTGATGTTGCAGACAAAAGAACTCATATATCATGTTAGATATTAGTTTTTGAATATCTTGTGCCGTAATTCATTTGCTAACAAGGAAATTAACTTTTCAGTGAGCTTCAAAAGATTTCATCCGTACCAGACCCCTCCGACTCAGATACACAAAAACGACTCAGCTATATTTCTGATCAAATGGAAAAGAAAGTTTCTCATATCAAGAAACTGAAATCCTGCCTCAAAAAGGTACCCAAAAGGGTTTCATCTGAGAATTTAATTTCCTCTTTCCATATCCACAAACTCGCATTTATTAATTGAAGAAAGTTGTTGTATATTCCTTTTTAGCCTCCAATTCAATTGTAAAAACTTGTAATACTTGAAAAACACAAGCATGTTCGTCATCCCGATGACTCAAAAATAGTTTTTATGAAAGACTAAAAAGAGCTGTTTATACTATCGAAGTATTTAAAATTTTAAGATGCGATAACTCCTTGACTTAGCAAAAGGTTATTATATGAGACCATAAAATGCCTGCATCACTACAGTTGGATATTAACAGATCTGCGCTCCACAAAATTATGGTTTTATCGTGGTCATTAGAGATGCAACGCCAAATGTGAATTTTAAGATATAATTTTTAAATCGTTAGCTTTGAACAGCTTTGAACAGTCAAAGCGGGAATTAGGTCAAAGACCGACCACCGCTTAAGAGCCGGTTAAGAGCCGTTTAAGAGCCGTTTAAGAACCGCTTAAGAGCCGCTTAAGAACCGTTTAAGAACCGGCTAAGAACCGGCTAAGAACCGCTTAAGAACCGGTTAAGAACCGGTTAAGAACCGGTTAAGAGCCGGTTCTTATCCGGCTCTAGGTTGATAAGTAGATTTATAAATCTGTTTTCTATAGGCGGTTCTTAACCGGTTAAGAGCCGGTTCTTATCCGGTTCTTAACCGGTTCTTAAACGGCTCTAAGTTTATTAGTAGATTTAGAAATCTGTTTTCTATAGGCGGTTCTTAACCGGTTAAGAGCCGGTTCTTAACCGGTTCTTAAGCGGTCCTTAGACGGTTCTTAACCGGTTCTTAAACGGCTCTAAGTTGGTTCTTAGGTTGTTTAAATGCAGTTTTAGAGGCGGTTCTTCAACGGTTCTTAAGCGGTTCTTAAGCGGTCCTTGGACGGTTTTTAAGCGGCCGCTCACCGGCTCTTGACCGGCTCTAAACCGGCTCTTAACCGGTTCTTAACCGGTTCTTAAACGGTTCTTAGCCGGTTCTTGGCCGGTTCTTAAACGGTTCTTAAACGGTTCTTAAGCGGCTCTTAAGCTGTTCTTAAACGGCTCTTAAACGGCTCTTAACCGGCTCTTAAGCGGTGGTCGCTGTTTGCCCTATTAGCCGAACAGTTCTTTTTGCTCTGCTCCGAATTGACTCCATTTTAATATTAACAGCAAGGCATCGAGAGTTACTCAAGAATCGTTTTCTCGGACGACAGATTGAGCAATTTCATAAGTTTTTGTTTTCTGATCAATGACCTAAATGTTTAATTCCTCGCAGCTGGAGAACGAATCAAAAGAGCGCGTGGTCCGAGCTCAAGCTGTCCCATCCTCCCGACCTTTGTCTAATCTGTCTAACAGAGAAGTACAGATCTGTGTTAGGGGGAGCAACACTCGCGAGCTTCTTACTAAAGTTAAGAACATTCGAGATGTTCTCTCTAATAAAGATCTCCAATGGATATGAACTGTGAACTGTGTTAATTTGACTTATTCTTAGCGATTCTTTTCTTGGTTTGGTGTTGTTTCCCAGACTTACGATTGCTTTCTGATATCAGTTAATTGATTACTAGTTAGTTAATTAGTAAATTGCGATCTTATTATTGTCTTATGTTTTTAGGCCGTACAGTGCTATTATTGTAAATAATATTTATCAGACGTTTATGAAGTTGTGACAGGAGACTCAAGCATGACAATTGGTTTACAGTTTTGTTGTATGAATAAATGAAATTTAATAATGAAAACAGTATTGATATGGTTTAACAAATTTGAATGAAACTATTTTACTTTTCTCTTAACTATGTATTTCCGATTACTAGTCCCCTGCTACACGGCATGTAAACAGGGATTGGCTAGTTAGAGGCGGTCCGTGTAGGCCTTACACTGTGCTTTCAGCAATACTCATAAGATGGAAGCTGTTATATTCCCAAACTTATCACAAGTTACATCCACTTCCTTCAAATTTTTAACTTAAATTTCGTTAGCCTAACATTGATTTTGGGCTTTTATTCTGTTATGAAATGACAAATTCAATGAAAATAGAATGTCATTGATTTAGAGAATCACAGGAGAAAATAATGATCAGCGAATGCATCACCTCATATTTAGAGGTGCAAGATTGCAAGAACAAGTTGTAACCTTCTTTAACAAGGTGAGTGTAAATGATTACTAACGTTTAGAGCTTGACAGTTGACTTTTGTTCGAAGAATAATTAGGGGCGAAACATAACCAATCAAAATAGGGCAATCTGAGGCCTGTCTCTTTTTCAAACGTTTTGTTTGGACGCGAATACAAATTTTGTACAGTTCTTTAATTGTGGTAAGCGCCGTGTGTGATTGAAAACGACGCCGCGCGCACGCTTTTATAGCAAGCGCGAAATATGAACTCTCCAGAATTCATTCAAAACATTTAAATTTTCTAGGATCCCTATTATATATACGATTTATTTTATTTAATAAAATTAGATAAGAAGGGTCAATACAACGAAAAGAAAAGCAGTATATCCCCTTATTGTTGGCGGTTATACGTATGTCGTATGTAAACCGAACACAGAACAACCAGACTCTTGCATAATAAATAATGGTGCGGGGTGCCCCAGATCTTACCAGAAACTTCCGTTGTGGACATTTAATTTGTTCACAATTCAGTCAAAACTGAGAAGTTTTGATCAAGGAAACGGCAATAAAGTTTTCTTAGGTATGGGTCCTGTCTAAGGTTGACTTTTAGGGTCCTGTCTATTTAGCTTTCAGTAGCTCATTTGTGTCTTGTGCCAAGTGCTAAGTGGGTAAAAATCGTTACAACAAGAAATGAAACAACTTATTCTAGAATTATCAATAAATTATGACAAATTGCTCAATGAATGATCAAACAAAGTTAAATATACTTCTGAGAGTTCGCGAAATAAATTCAACGAGTCTGCAGAGTAAACTATTAACTATGAAATAAATCTGTGTAATGAGATTACAAAAGTCGTGTATTAATGAAATAGTCGTCTTGGCCGAATAATTATGAAGGTTCCTCGAGAAAAGTTCTCAAAAAAGCTTATCGGACATTACGTTGGTGCCAAGCTTGACTGTTTGGTTAACCGTTTGTCCGTCCACCTAATTATTACCCCCAAATAAGGTATGATACAGATAAGTTAGGAAAAATCGAGTTCATGTTATCCAGCTGGCGAATAATTGGATCATCGAAATAGGTTTGGTAGCTTCTGAGAAGCCCGGTTCGGATGTGTGGAACAAAAGAGCAGCGGTGATATTTCCGTCGTTCATCTAAACATGAGTAGAGATTTAACAATAAGCTGCACATTGTATGTCATGTATGTATGTATAGCTACATACAGCGTATATAAGTATACTTATTGGCTAATAACGTATTATTGATTAAAATCTTTTAAGTGAAGGAATGAAAGAGTCGAGCAACATAATCTAGATAAATATTTACTTTTTCAGTTAACGTTGCAGTGAAAGTTTGGACTTCAGGACATTTGACCCGCCACACAAATGGAAAGTTTCCTGAAATGAGTTAGGTCGAAATAATACGTATTCATATTGTTAAATTGATTTAATCAATGTGATTGAATTGTCAGAAATCTAAAGTTTGTCATTCCTGTTCAAAGTTTGTCCTACATTAGCTGGCCTGCAATTCGGCCGTGTTACATTTATTTGCACGGAAATTAAACAACTTACATGATTTGGGTTACTTAGTAACTAAGTAACTTAGATGTGGAACTTCTGGACTGTGTATTTACCAGTTCTCCGATGATTTAAGTTTATGTTCTGATAGCAAAAAGATTACTTAGGGATATCTAAGTTACATTAAATATCTTTCAAGAATATTCAATAATTCTGTGGGAAGAGTGAAGAGAGGAAGGGAGAAAAGGGAGAGTGCAGAATCAGCCGGGCTTCACGCGCGAAAAAGGAAATGCTACGTGTATCAAGTGCAAAGGCGCTGGAAGGTTTTCAAACCTGTTCGAAGTTCGAACTGAATGATCATTTATCATCACCCTAACCCTAACCCTAACCCTAACCCTAACCCTAACCCTAACCCTAACCCTAACCCTAACCCTAACCCTAACCCTAACTATCCTGGCACGTATAGTATTTTGCTAAGTTGTTTAAAATTTATCTCACCATTTTCGAACGTATTTCTAGGGCATTGTTGAGTGTTACATTCCTTGGATTCCTCAGCTTCTCCAAGTCCAACACATTCACTTCCACCATTGACTGGTGTGGGGTCAGAGCAGGTTCTGCTCCGAGTCTGTTCTCCTCCTCCACAGATCTCCGAGCAGACTGTCCAAACACCGTAATCACTCCAGCCTCCATCAACTAGGTTACCTGTAAATCAGCGGACCTTAATCTTAAGAATATTTTGTATTACTCAGCTTTGGATTTTACTCAAGTTAAAAACAGAAAACCAGCTAGGTCTATAAATTTAAGGCCGATATTATAAAGCAAAACTTTTCTAATGTTTGCGATAAATGCAAATGTTAGAAAGCCACAAAAACTGTAAGCTGAACATGAAAGATCAAAATCATACTGTGAAATTATTAGCAGTTTCGAAACTAAGAAACATTGTTTTGAAACTAAGAAACAATTGCTCAATTCTGATAATCGACTTTTACCTTGACATTCTTGGGTGTTACATTCCTTGGATTCCTCAGCTTCTCCAACACATTCACTTCCACCATTGACTGGTGTGGGGTCAGAGCAGGTTCTGCTCCGAGTCTGTTCTCCTCCTCCACAGATCTCCGAGCAGACTGTCCAAACACCGTAATCACTCCAGCCTCCATTAACTAGGTTACCTGTAAATCAGCGGACCTTAATCTTACGAATATTTTGTATTACTCAGCTTTGGATTTTACTCAAGTTAAAAACAGAAAACCAGCTAGGTCTATAAATTTAAGGCCGATATTATAAAGCAAAACTTTTCTAATGTTTGCGATAAATGCGAATGTTAGAAAGCCACAAAACCTGTAAGTTGAACATGAAAGATCAAAATCATACTGTGAAATTATTAGCAGTTTTGAAACTAAGAAACGTTGCTCAATTCTGATTATCGACTTTTACCTTGACATTGTTGGGTGTTGCATTCCTTGGATTCCTCAGCTTCTCCAACACATTCACTTCCACCATTGACTGGTGTGGGGTTAGAGCAGGTTCTGCCCCGAGTCTGTTGTCCTCCTCCACAGATCTTCGAGCAGACTGTCCAAACACCGTAATCACTCCAGCCTCCATCAACTAGGTTACCTGTAAATCAGCGGACCTTAATCTTACGAATATTTTGTATTACTCAGCTTTGGATTTTACTCAAGTTAAAAACAGAAAACCAGCTAGGTCTAATAATTTAAGGCCGATATTATAAAGCAAAACATTTCTAATGTTTGCGATAAATGCAAATGTTAGAAAGCCACAAAAACTCTAAGCTGAACATGAAAGATCAAAATCATACTGTGAAATTATTAGCAGTTTTGAAACTAAGAAACATTGTTTTGAAACTAAGAAACAATTGCTCAATTCTGATAATCGACTTTTACCTTGACATTCTTGGGTGTTGCATTCCTTGGATTCCTCAGCTTCTCCGACACAGTCACTTCCACCATTGACTGGTGTGGGGTTAGAGCAGGTTCTGCCCCGAGTCTGTTGTCCTCCTCCACAGATCTCCGAGCAGACTGTCCAAACACCGTAATCACTCCAGCCTCCATTAACTAGGTTACCTGTAAATCAGCGGACCTTAATCTTAAGAATATTTTGTATTACTCAGCTTTGGATTTTACTCAAGTTAAAAACAGAAAACCAGCTAGGTCTATAAATTTAAGGCCGATATTATAAAGCAAAACTTTTCTAATGTTTGCGATAAATGCAAATGTTAGAAAGCCACAAAACCTGTAAGCTGAACATGAAAGATCAAAATCATACTGTGAAATTATTAGCAGTTTTGAAACTAAGAAACATTGTTTTGAAACTAAGAAACAATTGCTCAATTCTGATAATCGACTTTTACCTTGACATTCTTGGGTGTTACATTCCTTGGATTCCTCAGCTTCTCCAACACATTCACTTCCACCATTGACTGGTGTGGGATTAGAGCAGGTTCTGCTCCGAGTCTGTTGTCCTCCTCCACAGATCTCCGAGCAGACTGTCCAAACACCGTAATCACTCCAGCCTCCATTAACTAGGTTACCTGTAAATCAGCGGACCTTAATCTTACGAATATTTTGTATTACTCAGCTTTGGATTTTACTCAAGTTAAAAACAGAAAACCAGCTAGGTCTATAAATTTAAGGCCGATATTATAAAGCAAAACTTTTCTAATGTTTGCGATAAATGCAAATGTTAGAAAGCCACAAAAACTGTAAGCTGAACATGAAAGATCAAAATCATACTGTGAAATTATTAGCAGTTTTGAAACTAAGAAACATTGTTTTGAAACTAAGAAACAATTGCTCAATTCTGATAATCGACTTTTACCTTGACATTCTTGGGTGTTACATTCCTTGGATTCCTCAGCTTCTCCAACACATTCACTTCCACCATTGACTGGTGTGGGGTTAGAGCAGGTTCTGCTCCGAGTCTGTTGTCCTCCTCCACAGATCTCCGAGCAGACTGTCCAAACACCGTAATCACTCCAGCCTCCATCAACAAGATCACCTGTATGATATATATCCTAATTCATCAGGATGGTCTTCCATCTTAAAACAGAAAATGTAAGGCCGATATCAATACAATTGCAATTTTGATATTTGCAAAACAGAACATAAAACAAATCACGTAAATATTGGATGGTCATAATATGTCCTAATTATACTGTAGAAATTGCTAGTAATTTTAAAAACTAAGAAACATTGCTCAATTCTAATTATCGACTTTTACCTTGACATTGTTGGGTGTTACATTCTTGGATTCCTCAGCTTCTCCAACACATTCACTTCCACCATTGGCTGGTGTAGGGTTAGAGCAGGTTCTGATCCGAGTCTGTTGTCCTCCTCCACAGATCTCCGAGCAGACACCCCACGCACCCCATTCGCTCCAGCCTCCATCAACTGAAATTACGATACAATTTTTCAGATATTCTGTTATAACACGTTATTATTAATAGTTCTTTTAGATTTACTTTTTATCAAAAATATCCTACATAAATCGATTGGAAATTCAACTCTAAACTCACATCGTGATATTATCAACCCTTGATGAGTAGATGGTTTTAAGTTTAAATCATGAGATGATAAGTTAGACGTACCATAAGTATGGAGGTTAACAATAACAGACTTTGTATCTGATGTTGGATGGTTTACAGATGACACGGTGCAAGTATATTCTTTATCGGTATTCACAGCTGATGCTGCAATACTCAAGGTTCCTATCTGCTGTTCCGTTCTGCTGGACGAATCAAACTGGCCGGCCGAAGAGACAAAATCACCGTCTGTTTCATCATATCCGGACCAAGCGATCTTCATCTGCGCAGAAATTCCTTTAACCGTGCAAGATATTGTCGAGGCTGTCAGGAGAAGAACTTTTTTATGTCCTGCTACCATTTCTGAAATTATTTTGTGCATGTGCAATGTGCATGTATTTTAATTATAGTTATATACATACTATCGAAAATAAAAAATATATATACAGTTGTTGGGTATACCTATTTGTTCACGTGCATATTTGCCTTATCTAAACATTACAGAGCCCGCCTTTTGACAACTCCCTACCGATTTATAATATAGATTATGCCTTGAAATATCTATAAAAATTGTTTTTATATTTATAAATCTTTGTTAAGAGTTATTAAAATAGTTTCAACTTACCAAGATCGCCGCCATAAACGCCCACTTCCACCAACTGCACCTGAGTTCCGGAATCTGCCTTCATTACGATCTGTTTCCCCATGGCTCCTAGTTCATCATAACGATATGAAGCTTTTCCGCTAACATATTTGACTGTACCAATCAGGGTCGTTCCTATGTTTACAGTTAGTTTGCTTATCCTTATCGAGTATCTATCTAGGCGGTTCCATATCCATATCGCGTCGATGTAATAGACCTTCGTAAATGTTAATTTCCACCAAGCGCCGGATTTGCTCTTCGTAAGACTTATTGAATTGCTGAAGCGAATATTAACTATAGACTGTCTGTAGACGAACTTCATGGCGATCAGAAGAAAACAATATTTTGGGCATACAATTTTAGTTGGAACTATTTAAGTAATTATCTGAAATCTAAAAATACTTGGTTAATGGTTACCTTGTAGACTTTTTCCAATTAGGGTGTTTATTTCCATCTATTGCCTTGGGTGCTTTTCCAAATTTTTTTCCATCTGCATCAGCAAAGTCATCCTTTTGAGTGGCTGTTCCCTTACTATGGGCTATGTTCGAGTAACCTGGGGAAAGGATTTGTTACGCTGTTATTCAAACATTAGCATTGAGCTGCACCGCACTGCATAAAATATGATAGCAGTTCACCACAAAACACCTCCAGTTGACCAATCCCTAGGTTTTCTGTGTCACAAATTTGACAAAAAATCATTGCAAAAAAATAGCTGTCCCTTCTCGTTCATTCACCTTGCATGGTTGGAACTAACAAGATGAGAAGAAAAAACAAAACTATTTCACGTCTCATTTCGATTTATATCCAAGTTTAAACCATCAAGACTTTATCGTTAAACGATCCAGATTCCAGATTCACCGCGTGACAAAGTCGATGCAAACAAAATAATAAAGAGAGTTTATTTCTCGTGGTTTCTTATAACCCCAGTAACTTCGTCCACGTCCTGAATCAGTAGCCTACTACTACTATACTGCCAATTGTCTTGTCGTCCTCTGACGGTATCAATGACTAACTAGCAACTAGTAACTACTACTAGACTTGAGCTACTCACATGCATATTGCACAGTGCACACTAATGTTATTGATACGATTCGAGTTCTCGACTCAGCATATTGGCTTTTAGAGTTGTAAATCATTCGCATCTACAATCTACATAAACGGGAGCCGGCTGACTATTTCTTTTTATAAGGGTTGCTGTGCTAAATGTTCAATCTTTACAATACCTTTCTCACCGCTGACTAACGATTAAACCGTGGCAAATAGTGAGTATTTTGATAAACCATCGTTACTAACGATGATCGTTAGTTTGACTATCCAGCAACGCCTTGGAGCAAGCCTTTGGCCCTACCTTCAAAGTTTTGGGTATTTTCACACTATCTCGATTATATTCCCGGTATTAAAAATCGTGACGATTATATAGTTAGACTCGCAGTTCATAGAAATCCGGCACTAAAGACTGCAAACTGGTAGAAAGTGTGGTAGAAGACAGGATTGGTTTGAAATATAGATAAAGTTGCAGTATCCGTATATGTATATTTTATGTTTGGGGGCCATATTAATGATAATCGAATAAGCAAGTGAAACAAGGAAGTTAGGAGTAAGGGCAAATTTTCGGCGTCAACGCCATCTTCAGGCTCAAATTATTTGTTATATAGTAGTGTTGAAAGTATTAATACTTTTTTTTACTTTTTTAATACTTTCAACACTACTATATAACAAATAATTTGAGCCTGAAGATGGCGTTGACGCCGAAAATTTGCCCTTACTCCTAACTTCCTTGTTTCACTTGTCCTTGTCTCCGGATAATATCCAGATATCAGTATTTCAATCATGAGACTAATAAACAGCGAACTACTCCGTTATTTGATATCGAATAAGCAAGTTTACCGAAGCTTGTCAGTCCTGTTGAATTAATGATTTCCTGGACTAGGTTTCCCTCAAATCAGTGTCCACCATTTTTGTGGAAATTTAACAACTCACGTGATATGAGCCGAAACATCTGGACTGTGTTCTTGCTGCAGTTCTAAAGTAATTCAAGTGTCTGTTCTGATAGCAAGAAGATTGTTCAAGAATATCTAAGTTAAATTTAATCTCTTTCAAGATTGGAATATGATTCTTCGGGAAAGGTAGAGGAAGGTATAGTCAGTGGGGGCGCTGGGAGGGTTTTTTAAACCTATTTCGATGTAAAAGATCAAAAGTTCAATTTACCAAATTTCCTGGCACGTATAATATTTTGCTAAGTTGTTTAAAATTTATCTCACCATTTTCGAACGTATTTCTAGGGCATTGTTGAGTGTTACATTCCTTGGATTCCTCAGCTTTTCCAACACATTCACTTCCGCCATTGGCTGGTGTGGGGTCAGAGCAGGTTCTGCTCCGAGTCTGTTGTCCTCCTCCACAGATCTCCGAGCAGACACCCCACGCACCCCATTCGCTCCAACCTCCATCAACTGAAAATGCGAATGTTAGAAAGCCACAAAAACTGTAAGCTGAACATGAAAGATCAAAATTGTACTGTGAAATTATCAGCAGTTTTGAAATTAAGAAACATTGTTCAATTCTGATTATCGACTTTTACCTTGACATTCTTGGGTGTTGCATTCCTTGCATTCCTCAGCTTCTCCAACACATTCACTTCCACCATTGACTGGTGTGGGGTCAGAGCAGGTTCTGCTCCGAGTCTGTTGTCCTCCTCCGCAGATCTCCGAGCAGACACCCCACACACCCCAATCGCTCCAACCTCCATCAACTGAAAATGCGATTAAATTTGTCAGATATTCTGTTATAACACGTTACCCCCCAGTTCCATAGCCGGATATTATGCCAAATTATTAGACGGAGGTCCATTTCCCGTAGATCATCTCCGGAGATGATCCTCCGGCTACGTCTACTGTATTAGACGGAGATGAAGCTCTCCGGGAATTTCTCGGAGATTAATTCCCGGAGACCAACGCGCGCGGGCGAATTAGCTGTCTTTCCGAAAAGGTATAACAAATTTGGTACTGTGAAAATTCTCACAGTCTCTAGAAAACAATGGTACAAAAAATTTTAAAATCCGAGCAAGTTTATTTTTAATTTTTATCGTGCACCTCCTAGTAGATGGTCTCCGGATAAGGTTATGGAACTGCAAACCGGAGAAATATCCGGAGAAAAATCAGTAGACGATCTCCGTCTAATAATTTGGCATAATATCCGTCTATGGAACTGGGGGATAACTACAGGGTGTTTCGAGACTCGTGTCCAAATTTAAAATTTTAATTTTTAATTTTATGAAGGAGCAAAATTAGATGCAATCAGTTTTAAAATGCTGGTTATACCTTACATTTTAGTTATCTCTCACAAATTCGTTTCAAAACTCATCTTTTCGCAAATTTGTATCCTTTCGAAATTTTCTTCGAAAAAATGTCAAAATCTGGCATATCAGACGAAATGAGAGTAGACATGGTCAAGCTTTTCTATGTCAACGGAAGTAGTTGGACTGCTGCTAGGAGGGCACTTTCAAAGAAATACGGTAATGCAGGCAGGAAAATTCATCTTAGGACTATTCAGCGACAAGTGACGAAATTTGAGAGAGAATTGACTCTCAGAAGGAAACCAACAGGTGGGGGTGCAAAAACGGCAGTTAATGAGAAAAACATCAAAAAAGTCGACCAAATCCTTGACAAAAGCCCTCGACGTTCTGTAAGGAACATCGCTAAGAGAACTAAGCTATCTACCACAACCGTTTGGAGGATCTTGAGAAAGGAGTTGGGCAAATACCCATACAAAATTCAGATGTTGCAAGAACAGACGGCAGCCAACAAGCAGCAAAGAGTGGACTTTGCCAAGCAATTTGCTAGCAAAATTGAGTCTGATCAAAACTTTTTGAAGAACCTTATTGTCTCCGATGAAGCTCACTTCCAACTATCAGGGTGGGTTAATACTCAGAATGCCCGAATCTGGTCAGATAAGCAACCCTATGCCACCGTGGAAGGTCCAAAAACCAGAGAAAAGGTGACTGTTTGGATGGGCCTCAGTTACCATGGTGTCTTCGGACCCCACTTTTTCGAGAATGAAGAAGAGAAGGCAGAGACGATAAGGACAGCAAATTACATTGCTATGTTGCGTGGAAAAGTTATACCAGTACTTAAAAGGAAAAAAATACTTGATTCCTGTATATTCCAACAAGACGGGGCCCCTCCACACTGTTCGCACGAAAGTTTGGCTTGGCTGAAGGAGCATTTTGGGGAAAGACTGATATCGAGGAAAGCTGAGTTCAGCTGGCCTCCCTACAGCCCTGACCTGAATCCGGCCGATTTCTTTTTGTGGGGCTATCTGAAAGAACGTGTCTATTCAGACCCAGTCCCACAAACAGTAGATGAGCTAAAAAACAATATCAGAAGGGAGGCTAAAAAGTTAAAAATTGACATGGTAAAACGTGCAATAGACAATATGCTTCCGAGGGTTCAAAACCTTTTATGCAGAAAGGGGGCTTGGTTCGAAAAATTGTTAAAATATTAGATTTATTTTTGTTATGTATTTTGAAATGTAATAATTTGTCTACAATTTAAAACAAAAATTAGACCGTTTGTCTCATTTTTTAGATTTTGAGAGCCATTCAAAATTTGGACACGAGTCTTGCAACACCCTGTATTAATCGGTAATCGTACTGTAGTGCGACACGTACTCTAGTGCGACACGTACTCTAGTGCGAAGTCCGACAAAAACACCCTCTGTCGCACTAGGGTAAGTGTCGCACTACGATCCAGGTAGCGTACTCTACTGCGACAAAATATCCTGACTTATTTCCAAGTTCAGGTCACATCCTATCCTTCTTATGGACCATTAAGTGATTCGTCGGGTCGGTTCACGTCACTTATTTCGAAGTGATCTTGCGAATACGATTCGTCGGTTCACATTACGTGTTTCGAAGTGATCCACTGATCACAATTCCTTTCCTTCGGGTCAGTTCAAGCCACGTATGCAGTGTGTGATCCACCGGGTAACTCGTAAGCAGCATATGATCCTCATTCCTATCACACGCATCGTATGAAGGTATATCTCCGATTTGGATAACAAGTGCATATGCTTGGGCCATATATAAGGTCACGATGATTCTACCAAAGCATCGAACAACATCAACATGTCTTCTTGAATCACCTTCATTCCTGGACGCACTACTGGTTCAAGAAACGTTATCCACGACGGATACCGCTACTGCCTGGATAAGAAGCGCGACGACAGGACCTACTGGCGATGCACTGAGAAGATCTGCTCCGGACGTCTCAGTCTGATGAACGACACTACTGTGACCAGTACGAAGACCCATTCCCACCCTCCTACTCCTGTGCAGCTCTTCACCAAGAGATGATGCTTCTTCCACCACAAGCAAGCACTTTGGAGGAAGATGCAGCAACATGACCTAGTCCCGGAATACAACGCAGAGAACTCAGCAGTACGGAAGTACTTTCAGATGATCGGTGGCCGGTGCCATTGCCTTCGTGGACCTTGGAGACGTACTGGATACCTGGACGCAGCTGAAAGCAACCCTTCCCCCGGAGATGGATTCCTTTGCTGACTAAATTTTTATTGAATGTGTAAAGTGTTTTGTCGCACTTTAGTTCGTGTCGCACTACAGTCCAGGTAGCGTACTCTACTGCGACAGTGTCGATCTTGGAGGTTTCGCACTAGGGTACATGTCGCACTAGAGTTCGTGTCGCACTACAGTACGTGAACCCTATTAATCGTTCTTTTAGATTTACTTTTTATCAAAAATATCCTACATAAATCGATTGGAAATTCAACTCTAAACTCACATCGTGAGAATATAAACCTTTGATGAGTAGATGGTTTTAAGTTTAAATCATGAGATGATAATTTGGACGTACCATAAGTATGGAGGTCAACAATAACAGACTTTGTATCTGATGTTGGATGGTTCGCAGATGACACGGTGCAAGTATATTCTTTATCAGTATTTACAGCTGATGCTGCAATACTCAAGGTTCCTATCTGCTGACTGTTGGATGAATCAAACTGGCCGGCCAAAGAGACAAAATCACCGTCAGTTTCATCATATCCGGACCAAGCGATCTTCATCTGCGCGGAAATTCCTTTAACCGTGCAAGATATTGTCGAGGCTGTCAGGAGAAGAACTTTTTTATGGCCTGCCATCATTTCTGAAATTATTTTATGCATGTATTATAATTATATAATTATAGTTATACGGAGTATTAAAAATGGGTAGAAAGTAGATGGGTATAGCGACCCGTTCACGTGCAAACTTGCCTTATATCTAGAAATTGACGAAGGTCGTCTTTCGACAGATCTCTATTGAGTATTGATCCACGATTGAAAGTACAGATTATGCCTTGAAATATCTATAATACTTGTTTTTATCAACTAAACTTTGAATATTTGTTAAAACTCATTAAAATATTTTCAACTTACCAAGATCGACGCCTAAAACGACAACTTCTACCAACTGCACTCTATATTCATGGTTACTGTTCATTACGATCTGTTTTCCCATGGCTGCTAGGTCATCAAAACGATATGAAGCTTTTCCGTTAACATATTTGACTGTACCAATCAGGGTCGTTTCTATGTTTACGGTTAGTTTGCTTATCCTATCCGGGAATCTATCTAGGCGGTTCCATATCCAAATCGCGTCGATGTAATATA